GTTCACCCTTTAGATGTATAGTTGGGTTGGTACAACAGATGAAATTGGAGAAGAATCAGGAATTGACCATGTCAAGGGTTCGTGTTGAAGAATTGGAGTCATTGCTATCTGCTAAACAGAAGGAGGTCCAGCCTACCTGCATTAGATTCTTCTTTTCTTCTGAATTGATTTATAGATTCTCTCTTACATATTTTCATGCTGTAACAGGTTTGCACATTGAACACGAGGATAGCTGCAGCTGATAGTATGACTCATGATGTTATTCGGGATTTACTTGGTGTGAAAATGGATATAACTAGCTATGCTGTAAGTATTTTAAACTATATATCATCTTCAAGAGAGTTTTAAAAGGCATTTTTCCTAAACGCATCGGTTTCGTCGTTGGGATATTGCAGGAGTTGATTGACCAGCACCAGGTCCAAAGAGTGATTAAAGAAGCTAAGCAACATGCTGAAGAGATCATGTCCAAGTTGAGGATGCTATAGACTTATTGCATCCACTTTCTTTAGTTAATCATCATCTTTGATTTTAGGACCAATAAATCATCAACCTGAAGAGAGATATTGATGCTCTTGCTAAGGAAAGAGAGAGGTTAGCCATGTTCGACGTCCACCATAACTGTTCTATCACTACCCAATATGCTTATTTTTCTCTCTTGAAGTACTCAAAAGAAAAATTGATTTAGCGTTTTAAACAAAAAAGATTCTTACCAAGGTTTGCTCTCTTGGGATGTTTCTACTTAACAGTTGCATGTCAGAGTTGAACAAGAAAGATACAGATGTTCTTGCGACACAGATATCTTTGGACCAACTACAAGAGCGAGCTCAGTTGCTTTCTATGCAAAACGAAAATGTTGAAGGTAATTTAAGAGTTTGTTCCACCTTTAATCCCACAACCATTGTTACGTGTGTATTTTTAGCTCACTAATTCTATCTTCCATTTTCAGAATGACAAAAGTAATTTGCTGAGGAGGTTAGCTGATCTTGAACGAACAGTCCATGAAGCACAAGCCAGTAACCAACGTGCTCCACAGACAAAAAAGGTAAGCATAATACTTACACGTGTGGCCATAAACCCAAGAACATGGATAAGAACTCAATGATTTGATCTAAGGTTTTGAATTTTCTATGGAACAAGATACAGTGTCATTTAAACTTGCTGACACTGATTATACCAAGAGGTTGGAAAACGCTCAGAAGCTTCTTTCTCATGCTAACAATGAATTGGCAAAGTATCGCAAAACCAGCAATAATATTCCATCTACAAGAACTCAAGGACAGAGCTCTGGTTCAAGACATCGGTAAAGATATTTTCTTACCAAACTGTAAGTCCCACATCTAAATTCTAATTGCTTAATGAAATTTCTTACTTGTGTGGTTTTATTTTATAATCTTTTGGAATGATTGTGTATAAGAATGCATATAACATGTTGTAGTCGGTAAGTTGGTTTGTATTTGTATGTTCATATTTTTATGAAGGAGGAGTTTTGCAATCATTCGGTGTTAAGCCACTTGACCACCATTTTCCTCATTGCTAATTACGGAGTAAACAAAATATGATTGTTTTCACTCTTGCACACAAATACAACAAAGAAAAAACTCAAAACCTATATGTTTAAAACTTCAAAGACTCATCCTGAGACAAGGAAGTTTACAAAAGAACAGGTGTAATATGACAATCCACTTACGGAAGGTCTTCTTCCTCTTTAGGTTCCCAGGTCTTCTTCCTCTTTAACTTCAAAGACTCATCCTGAGACAAGGAAGTTTACAAAAGAACAGGTGTAATATGACAATCCACTTACGGAGCATCTTCTTCCTGAGACAAGTATTTTAATACTTTTATATAAAATAAGAAACATATTACTAAATCTCATCAAAATATATTAAGTGTTAACAAATATATAGATAATTCCATTATGAATGTAAAAAATATATAATGGTTTCTTTATGTAAAATGTTTATACTTATAAAAAATTAATTAATAATTTTGGTGGAACCATATATTTACATAAAATTGCAAAAAATTCATTAACTTATTTTGTATCGCGGATACCAGCAAATCCGCAAATATAGAAAACATAATTTCTTAAAAAGGGTTTATTTTTTTTAATATAAAAATTTAGTAAATTGCATTAAAATATACAAAAAATAAAAATTTAATTTATTAATCATATTATTTTTTTAAAATTATTATTTCTATTATTTAATAATTATCTGTGGGTCCTGCAGGTTCTCTGTAAATTTAAGTGAAGTGAGTTCAAATAAATATATTTTCTTTGCGGGCAAAAAATGTTAAAAAAATTAGTCAAAAAATGAATCAACCCGCTGCAGAAAGGGTCGAGCGGGACGGGTTTGACCCGCTTCCCAACACTAGGCACGAGTGTATAGTTATGCAACATCACAAATTCAATACAATTTTCAAAACACCTTAACAATCAATAAAATATATTTTACATAAATATGATTACAAAAAACACATATATGACTACACAAAAACACAAATGTAAAAATTAAATTTATAAAAAAAATGAAATTATAAAATATACCTGCCCTCTAAAGAAGTATAACTCTCTATACTCCCCATTACAATCAAATATACTCAAATATGATCCACAAAAGCGATCGAAACATACACATGTAAATTTCATCTTATTTGGAAAAGATACAATACTCATGCTTCGGTCAAAATCTAGTACTTATTAAATGTGAGGCACTTTCAAGTTGGGGTGGGATGTTGTTTGGACAACTATTCCCTTAATAAAACAAGTTGGTTGCGTAGCTGGTTATAAGAAATGCTAAGGTGGAATTTGTGTTTAGACATTACTTTAGTTAGGTTTTTCTTTTATGATTACTCATTCCAGCTTTTTTTTTTATTGTTTATTTCTCATTTTCAGATATATAAAACAAACACAATTGTTATAATAAATTGTAATTTATTTTTTCATATTTTAATATCAAATTTCATATATGTATTTGTTATATTTTAAAAATTATATAAAAATGAAAACTATAGTTTGACTAAAAGTTCATTAATGCTTTTACATTATGAGATCTGAGTTCAAATCCCAGAAACATAAACTATTCAGATTTATGGAGAAAAGGGTTATAGCTATGTTACATGGAATCGGAAAATATTTAGAAAGCGAATACGTGTTGGAAACGTTTATATATATATATATATATATAATTAAATATTGTAAAGAGTAAAATCTAATATATAATTCATAATTTTATACAAGAAGTGCATAATTACAAAGAGCAAATATAATAATATAAATAAATCATAATGTATCAAAATTATAACGCTTTGAAACTGAAAAAATAAAAATAAAGGCAATTTAATCAACTCATGCACAACAACTGAATAATACAAAAAGAAAACGAACAAGTGAGAAAAATATTACAAATTATATCATTATTCAGAAGCACAGAGTTAGACTAGTTTTAGGTTTCCTTAGAACGTACCATAGCAAGATTTTTTTTTTTTAATTACAGCTCCACTATAATTCACCAATCAGGATTTTAATAAAGTGATTTAAGTTGGGCCCAAAACCAATTAAAGCCCACGAGAAATATATTACGCATCAATAATACAGTCACCGTCAAGCTTCCACTATGACTATCAACGCTTCCACATATGAATCGTGCGCTTTCGTCACGCTTCTAAACACCACAATTCCGTAAACGCGATTCCAAGACGATTCCATGCGATTCCGACCACTTCTGGTTCCGAAGCGAGAGCCACACCTCCACTGGCGATTCCATGTAGCGTAGGTTATAGAAGATTTTTAGCATAGTGTAAGGAATATCATCAAACATGGATCTCAACAGGATGAGTTTGAATGACGCAGTCAGACATATATTCTCATAAAATGGTAGCATTGTCAATTGTATAATCGTCTATGTAATATTTCTCATCCTTGTAATAGCATAATTAATTAGACATTAAAAAAAATTATATAAAATGCTTAATATAAAAAATGTGGACATGGATGTCATGATGAGGAAAAACTTCTCTGTTTTGATACCACAAAACATGGACATGGATTCCTATTACTAAAATCCTCACCAAAAGAAACAAAAAAAAAAAGAAAGATTTTGGCATAGACTCATATGGGCTCATGTTAACAAGATGACTCATGTGGACAAGGACTCATGTGGACAAGAGAAGAAAAACATGGACATGGACTCATGTTAACAAAGGAAGAAAAACCTGGTCATGGATACATGTTGACATGAACTCATGTTACCAAAACCTCAATAAAACACTCACCATAAGTTGTGGACTAATAAAAACCAAGGGTGAGGCATCACCATGGGCTCTAGCTTAATCCTCCCACAACGTTTATTCTGCAGACCACAAAAACAAAAACAGTATTAGAAACTAAATTCCAATGAAAAAACACTATATGAATGAAACAACATGCAGACGATTGGCCAAGAACCTGATACTCCATCAACATCTCAGTGTAGTCTCGTTCTTTCACACTCGCGTCCTTGAAAAACCTGATAACAGCACATTAAACAACTTAATTAATCAAAGCAAAGACACAAACTTTATCAAATAATTGAATAAGGAAACTCAGATACATGAGACATACAACACATATAAATTGAAAAGAAGTATACTTGATCTGCTCCTTCATTGTGGCTTCGCATTCAGGGGAGTACATATGTGGAGCAAGCGAAAGCTGCAGACTTGAAGGAGATTTTACTTCTTCAGCTCCACAAATGACTCAACGCCGTTTGACGGTTTTGTGGATGCACGAACAGAGAAGAAGAGGTTTCACATAAAAAAAAGGACTAATTAGAGATAGAAGACTCAAATATTCACCCATTTAGACTATACTTTGAAACAGTAGTAATGTTGATAAAAAAAGTTGTTACTAGAGAAAATGTACTCACATATGGAATCCTCAAACATATTCCTTATTCAAATTGAAAATACTTTCAAGATAATTTCAAATGTTACATCATGAACAATGACAAATATAAAAAGTTTTAAGTCCAATGGGTAATGACCGGGATGAGTTCAAGTGGAATCTTCTTAGGAGAGACAAGTCCATATGATTCTTCAAGATCAACATCTTTTGCTTCCATTCCTCCTGGAAGCTTCCAGTCAAAACGGTAAAGAAGATTGATAAGAGTCAAGTGTACCAAAGACATACCCAAACCCATACCAGGGCACATCCTCCTCCCGCTACCGAATGGCAACAACTCAAAGTTTAGACCTTTGTAGTCAATCTCTTTGTCCATAAACCTCTCGGGGATAAAAACTTCTGGATCTTTCCAAATGTTTGGGCTCCTGTGAATAGCCCATGCGTTGACTTGGATCCATGTTTTTTTTGGAATGTCGTAACCCCCAATCTTTAAATCTTTTGACGCCTCTCTTGGAATTAGAAGTGGCAAAAGTAGGTTTATCCTAAGTGTTTCCTTAATGACCATTTTGAGATATTCGAGTTGTTCCATATCTTCTTCTATGATATAGTCTTTGTTTTTTATCACTTTTCGCACTTCGGCTTGCACTTTCTTCATAACCCTTGGGTTTGCAATCAAATGTGTCATCACCCAAGTTACAGTATGGGCAGAAGTATCTATTCCACCAATAAGAATATCCTATAATAACCAATTAGACAAGATTCAAATGTCATGCAACATGTAATGAATAAAAATTATATTGATCGAGAAGTTTCCATTACTTACTAGAAGAGTTCCTTTGGTATGGTTTCGTGTAAATTGAAACTCTCCAGGTCCAGTCTCTTTAGATTCCATCTTGAGAAGCAAGGCAATGATATCATCTTTGATATTTTTATCTTCCAAATGGCACTTTATGGATTGATCAAAAAATGCATCCATTACTTTAAAAACCTTCTCACATTTGCTATGTAACCCTGTGATCCTGTCGATGAGTTTACCAATGACCGGGAAGTAGTCTGATGCTGCAAAACTTCCTAACACCTCCATGGTTCCTTGGATGACTTCCTCATAAGTATTCTCGAGTTCGCTTCCTTTAAGATTTATCCCAAACCCAACTCTACAAATCACACTTCCCGACAACTTCATTAACTTCTGGTTGAAGTTAACCAGATTCTCAGATGAAGCAGATTGTTTCACGTAATCAACAAAGGAGGCAACTTCTTCTTCTCGGACATGTCGAAAAGACTGCACTCTTTTCCCGGTGAAGAGTTCAACAACCGCCACCTTTCGTACTTCCCTCCAATATTGGCTGTACGGTGAAAACGCTATATCGTTCAAACCATACGTAATTCTTGCAGGGTAAGTCATGTATGGTCGGGAACAACATTCTACATCGAATGTTTTTAAGACATCCTTCACTGCGTCTGGACTTGACACCACAACGGTAGATACCTTCCCAAACTTTAGGGACATTAGAGATCCATATTTTTCAGATAGTTTGGTTATCGAGCGATGAGGCTGCGAGCCTAATTGGTGCAAGTTGCCAATGATAGGAAGTTTCGGTGGTCCAGGGGGTAGATTCATCGTTTTCTTCTTCGACTTTGTTGCAATGAGTATAGATGCAACGAAGACGAATGCAACAATGACATACAATAGACTCATTTCGTGTTCCTATATACAAATCAAATAAACAGACCATTTACTTATAAACTCATTCATCCTCTAAAAAAACGCTGGCATATATCAATGAAAAGCAGAAAGTATAGAACCGCGTAACCTAAAACCACCAAAACTCAAGACTCTCATAAGGCAACACGGAAAGACTTCTAAGCTTTTATACATGATCAACTGATGTCTACTTATACAAAAAGTTCAGAATGATCGGATTCAATACTAGAGTGGAAGTTATAATTGTATTGGTTCCTTTTAGGTAATGTAGTGTGGATTTTAAAGAAAATTTAGCTCATTTATTTGCATAATTGGTTGAGAAATTTTCTAGGATAGACCTAAAAATTTTTTTATCACAAATATAAACTTTAAAGATAAAAATGACTAAAATAAACTCAAATGTTTTATCAAAAATAAGTAAATATACAGTTATACCCTTTAGGTTAATTAATTATCTACCTTTTTTGTTCAAAGTTGAGGAGTCGGGTTTTGGGGTAGGTTTCAAAATTAAAAAAAAAATTAAAATTTTCATAATAAAAAAATGTTATTTTTGGTCATTTTAGTTTTTGAGGTCTATTTTTGTGATAAAACTTAAAAATGTCTATTTAATAGATTTGTCCTAATTGGTTTGAAGTACCAATTTTGCAAATTTGAATTGTTAATTTTTACATATTTTTATTGTATTGGTTCCTTTTTAATGCCAAAACTTCAAAAAGTAAGTGTGTTGCAATGTAAACTCCTTAACCTATAAATTTACCACAGTAGCGGTGATTTATTATACGGGTATTGTAAATGGATGGTATAATCCATTAAATAAAGTTAATTTAAAATTTTTTACATTATCCTTTTAGTTAAATGGTATTTACATTAAGTAATGTTAATTTCATATCTAAATTCGTAAGACTAAGGAAAAAATATTCTATAACATTATAAAAACTATTTTTTTTTAAATAGTACAACTAAACCAAAATACTCATAGAGTTTTTAAGATATTTGGTTTCATAAATATCTTAAACATATTCAATATATCAGTTCTAAAAGATGTACCACATATCTTTAATATATTTGCACTAAGATATTCAGATTTGAAATCTTCATATACAGTAAAAACTCTATAAATTAATAATGTTGGACTATGATATTTTATTAATTCATAAAGATATTAATTACAAAAAAATTCTTATTTCGATTTTCTATTTCAAGATATATTTATTTTCTAAAAAGAAAACAATTATTCAATTTTAGTCTATTTACTTTTTAAAAAATTTGACATTTATATTTGGTTTTATTGTAATATTTTGTGTACATCAATTATGTCTCATAGAATTTAAATTTGGTTTTAGATATAATTTTACTAATTTGCATCAAAATATATTAAGTGTAAAGACAATATAAAGATAATTCAGTTGTGAATATAAAACAACAACATAACGATATATTCATACTTATATAAAATATGAACACATATAAATTATTAATTTATAATTTTAATGGAACCATATATTTATATAGAATTTCTAAAAGAATATTATTCTCTTATTATGTTATAGACTTTTTTTATATTTTGAACCGGCCCAACTTAGAACTAAATAAATTTATTAATTTATAATATTTATTAATTTACCTAGTATTAATTTATAGAGTTGCTATTGTGTATTCATTCTTCAAGGTGGAACAATAACATGATCTAGAATACTTTACCCACCAATACTAAGCAAAAAAGAAGGGATAAATTACCTATTTCCACACCAAAAGTATCACATATCATATAGTAACAAATCCACACAATTTTTTATGCTCATCATAATTGCACACATTTTATGTATATGAGCCTAATTGAACACATTTCAAATATATGAACCTATTTACCTCCATTTTCAAAGGTCAAAATCCGAAACAACACAAATGAAAGTTTAACTTGGTTTTATTGGTTTAAAATCTAAACTGATATCAAATCAGTTGTTTCGAACTGAAATTAAAACCTGATCCGAATTGATATTCAAATAGAACCTGACCAACATCTTACTAAAGGGTTGGGTCGAGTATTATTTGAATATCAGGTTTTAATTTCAGTTCTATACCAACTGATTTGATCGGTTTAACTGAGTTGATATCGGTTTAGATTCTAAACCTATAAAACCAAACTAAACTTTCATTTGTGTGGTTTTGGATTTCAATTTGTGAAAATGAGGGTAAATAATTCATATACTTAAAATGTGACGAACATGAAAAATTATGTGGAAATATTATTATACGATACTTCTAGTGTGGAATAAATCGTTTACCCAAAAAGAGACATGCAACTTTCGAATAAGTAAAGAAATAGAGTTTGGATACATACGATAGATAGAGACCGAGCTTGGTAAGACAACCTTTGAGAATTCTTGTATAAGCTTTAGTTATTCAATTAGAGTTTGAACTTCCGGATTGAATTCTAAAGTAAGGAGAACATCCTTTTATAAACAAAAATTCAGAACTTCACTTTTTCCTTATAATAAGTGACGTGGTGACAAAAGAAACTAGTATTATTAAGCTCGACTTAAAGTATAATTTGATTTTGTTAAGAAAGACCAAGTCATTATTTAAGTATCATGGTATGACATGTTAGGTATCATGGCTGAGCTCTAATGTATATTTATATTTTTTTCTTAATAAAAAGAATCAAGACTAACCCTTTCTTTTATAGTGATTAATTCATATATACGTTTTCTACTTATAAAAATAACTCAAAATGGTTGGAATATCAATTCAAATGATAATTTAGAGTCACATTATTACATACATGATAATTGAGTTGATTTTCAAACTAATTGAAAAAAAAAAAATATTGCTAGAAGAAGCCAGCCAAAAAGTGCTGTATCTGCAAAATTAGAGCGGACAATGAAATTAACTCGATTCTTTAGAGTACATATTAGTTAATATCATTTGGCAATATGGTACAAACCAAGATTTAATGCATTAAATAATCATAAATAACTCTAAGTTGATAAACTGCATGCATATGATGAAAATACAAATGATGGATACTGAAGCTGGTTATCTTTATGTGCCATTTTAAAATATAGTTATTTGAAAATTAGGTGTATGAAAATACGTATACTAATATTTAATTTTCACTTAAAAGTTTAAATTTTCCGTTTAAATCCTACGGTTTAATATGTCTTTTATGATCATAAATTATACTTTTTAACTTTCATGAAATTTCAAATTTCAATTTTCATTTAAAGTTTTGAATTTTCCACTTTTTAATTTCACGTTTAAATTTCCTACTTATATTTTAATTTCCCGTTTTAAATTTAGAATCTTTCAAGAATATTTATCACAAGCCATCTAGAAGATTTCATAGAAGACTTCTAGTGAGTGAAAGTGTTTCTATCTTTGAATTTATGTAATGTTTGATCATTTGTGAATTTGACTAAGTTTTCTTGAGTTGTTTCTTTTTTAAATGTAATAAATTGGACTATATTTTGTGTTATTGTGTTTTCCAAGTTATATCAATAACTTTAACAATGTTAAGTAATTTTGGCAAGATAATATTATGGATAATAAATATATTTACCATATTTTTCATTAATATTTTTTCTAATTTACAAAAAAATGACAACTAAAGAGCACACATACAAATCACAAAACAAACCACAAATAGAACTATTATAGATAATTCCTCCATAAAGAAACGCTTGAATTTCACTTGATATGAGAGAAGACTTGTTAGAATACTTTCCGGAAGTCTTCTAGTGCATTATATATTAGAAGATTTGCAAGAAGACTTCCCATAAGTCTTCTAGGTCTGACTCAGATCTGAAAAACTTACAAATCCCAAAATGTTCAAATGACTTCAAAAAAAAGAAAATAAGTCAAAGATGAGATATATCTACCTTAAGAACACACAAAAATACATATCCAGAAAATTTAGATTAACCTTTAAAGGAGTGGAAGATGAGAACCATGTAATAAAAACTTGCAAAATCAAGATAAATTAGTAAAAAGTCATAATAAAAAAAATGAAAAAATGATATAAAGTGTGGTATTTTCGTATTTAAAGTGATTAGAGACATATTGGAGAGTTTTAGTTTGAAAAAAGGTAAGAGTTTTATGCAATAAAAAAATACTAAATGAAGAAAAATCAGACATGAGACTTACTAAATACTCAGATATGTTATAAAAGAGGAGACATAGAAGAAGACTATGTCAGAAAACTTCTAACAGCATTATATTTTAGAATTAGAAATCTTATCTCCAAAACCCCACAATTTAGCTCTATACCCTAAATCTAGATTAGTTAATTCTAGGATTTTTTTAAAAAATTTAATATATCTTAAAAATATAAATAATAAAAATTTATCTAAACTATTATTTTAAATATAACTTAACTAAATTAATCTTTATATTTCTATTAAACTATTATAGTTGTCCATGTCACATTTAATATTTATATTAAAATATTAGTATAAAATAATAAAATCTAAATTAACATAGCTTTGTTTTTAAATATAAGTTAAATTTAAAAGATTTCGGTGTGCATGATGTAGTAAAACATTTAGTATATATACATATATCTATACTATATACATATATCTATACTATATACATATATTGTATATGACTAAACTTAGTCGAATTATTCGATGTCTACGCTGTAAAGAAAATCATATGCTTTATGATACTTGTACTATATGAATAAACATTTGCACCACAAAATTATATTAATAAACTCAGGCCTGCTTTAAAAAATTACAAAACGTCAACGATCCTTGTACTATTTGAAATAGAAATCTTAACTAGATGAAGATTTTTTAATCAAATAGACTATTCTTTTTTTTAATTAATCAAAGTTTAGGTGGAAATGCATGCCTCCTCGTACATGGAGACGGCCTTTGATTTTCTTTTTAATTAATCAAAGTTTAAGTGACTACAACAGAAATTAAACTCGACAGTAAAGAACTGGAGTGAAATCCAACATATGACGAACAACAAAAGTAGAACGAGAAAAT